TGCATGGCTTTGGAATGCTTTCTTAAACATGATAAAGTACATACATAATATGTTTCTTGTGAGTAATATTAATAAATACCGTCTTAAAAACTGATGTATGGATAGAAAAACAAAAGAGCATGTAGGTAAGATAGTTTACCGCACTCGGAATAGGTCTGCATAGTATTTACAGACCCGGTGGCCTTTTAAAGACCTCGATCGCTACGCTCTCTCGGCCTTCAAATCGCCACCGGGTCTGTAAATACTATGCAGACCTATTCCTCGTACGGTAACTATTACATATATCATTAATATCACTAAAATAAAATTCTTTATTTGGTAAAATGTCATAGTTGTCCAGTTTTCTTATTGACAAGCAAACAACACCTAGATAAACGAACGGGATGCGCAGAAGTTATTGTTTCCAGTTTTCAGCACTTATGTCTCATTTATAAGGAATGCGAAGGAGAATGCCTTTTTTAAACACCGTTGTATTTTTGACAGAAAGAACGCTTTGCTGAATCTGTAATTTAAGCATGATGTTCATTCCACGTAACCTTGTTTTTGATTGGTCTGCTAGTACCTGATATGAAATTAAGAGCGGTTTAATCCGTCTGACTAAAAAAATGAAGGCAATCAAGTTACTACAATTAGTTAATAAGTAACATAGAAAATGAAAAGGTCGAGAGTGATAAAACCATTAATGGTAAATTCCTTGAGGAGTATATTATGAAAATACTAAGACATGCGACCCGTAGGTAGAGACAGAAGGACTAAATTTGGGAGACAAACCCAAAACTTCACATGACAAAAATCATTTAAAATTTTTTTAAAATTTTATAATAACCCTTTCACTTTTTATTAAAAAGTAATCATTCCCTTTCCCCATTAACAATTTGGGCGACGTGTTCGATCAAAAGGTTTTTATCCACGCCGCTTTTTCCAACCCCCAAACAAAATTTAAGAACAAAGGGACTTTTAATACATTTTTCTATTTGGGGGCTTTTTATTTGGGACGGGTTTTGTGGGGCAAATTTTTCTCTAAGCGACAACACTACAAAGCGTCAAAAAGGGGAAAATTGTCGGACTTTCTTCTTTCGTCCCTTCGCTAGGAAAACACGACAAAGCGCCAAAAAAACCCCTTTTCGTTTGTCGCTAGCCCTGCGACACACAAAAGGTACCAAATTTAGCCACCATAGTTAATAGTACACTTCCTAATGTTTATTAATGTAATATTAGTGGCGAGACGGTCTATACTCATTTTGTGCTGATGATGATTTATTTTTTGTTATTTATTAAGTTTTGTGTTAATTTGACATGTCTATTTCCATGATGCATATTCAATTAAGGATACATAGTTATAATAGTCGTTATTTCACAATATGCAGTCTATAAAGTATAAAGGAACGATTTTAGCCCATTTGTCATGATAGTAACTTATAAATAATGTCCCTTCTAACAACTTCGAATAATTTATTTATCATTTTACATGTACATTTTTATATATGCTTTAGTGAGAAGAAAAGGGGGTTTGATTCTTACAGATAGTTGAATAAAGTCATGTTAAATCACTATTTACCGCACATTTTCACTTACAGAAATTTTGTGTTTGCAATATAAAAGAATAGTACATAGTCGCTTATATTGAAATAAGTACTAACTTTCAGTCAGATTTTCTGCTTACGATGTAATACCGAAACATGGTATCCTTAAAGATATAAAGGGTCCAGGATTAAGTGGTAGACATCCAACCTTTATTTCCAGCTTTCTCGCCGGTAGAAACTTTAAAATAAAAATAGAAAAAACACAGAATTCCTAAAGAACATCCGGTTTTATTGAACCTGTTCATGGAAGTTACTGGAAAATGCAAGCTACCGTCCATGACCTCTAGTACCGGGTTAAGAAGAATTCAACATTTAACTTGAAATTGCTAAATTTTGATGCATCCACAAATATGTTTATACGGTGGTTATCAGGGAACCTTCAATGTGACACGTTAGTGCCATTCGATATGTTCACCAAGTAAAAGAATGCACGTGCCGTAAACGAAAAACAATGGGCGGAAATTAATAAAATGAAACGGAATTTGGAAAGGAATCAGATGTTATGAAGCCTTGGAGACTTGGTTCAACATTTTTCGAGAGTCACGAGAACAATCTACAAGAACAAGGTGTGCTTCGGTGTAATAAACTTACTGTTACACTTTTTGATCCGAAAATTAACACTATTACTTAGGTTCTTTATCCTAGTGTAGATTTTATATTTAGATAATTTTCTCATATGTAAATGTCAAAATGAACACTGTAAAGTTTCTAATTCTAACTCTTGAAAAAGAAACGACGCTTTATTTCGTACCGTTGGAATATTTCACTGACGGATATTCCGTTTTTTTGGCACATATTTCTGATCGATTTTATCGAGTAAAATAACTCACTGATAAACGGTTTGCCTCAATTCCATTCAAAACCCTGATTGGTTACTTGAATTAGATTGATCTAGAATAGGCTCATTTTCCATAAGAAGTTTTTTTTTTATAAGAGTGACAAAACTATAAATGTATCATTTATATATTCTGATAAACAAAATGTTGGCAGAGCTCTAAGTAATCTAGTGTAAACATTAATTTTATAAGACAAATAATAATAAATTGTTCTAGAAGAATTTATTATCTACTATTTATGTCGGACCATGTATCTAGCACCAATATAAACCTTGCATGTTTTGTTTTTACCACGAATAACAGTAATATCATTTATGTAAAATAGACCTTCAATTTTGGACCACTTCACTTTAATATATTTCTTCTGCAAATTCTCATTTTTGATGCTCACGTAACATTTTCATAGCAATACCATGACATGAACAGAAATGTATTGCCATGTCGAAGCGAATTTTATATATTATGTGTGCTTTTCATTTGTTTAGTAACTATGATGTGTTGATCAAAACTTCATGATCGTTTCTATTTTTGTTAATATCAAGATGTCATGAGAAAAAAATCGTTCAGTCCTTCTGTCAACGTAAAGAAAGCGTTTTACGGAAACATTCAAATGGTTTTACTTTCGATATTCATAAAAAAGACTGTTTCTTAGATTCTTCACTCAACATACCAATATTATAATAACGCCTTTAATGTCGTTGTTTTAATTAGAATATTTGTGACAAGAAACTACTGTTATGTTTAATAATGATCGGACGGTGATATCGGAGCTTAGTTTTCTGAATTTGTTTTTTTAAAAGTATCGTGTTCAATTGCGTTGATCGGTCGCTCGTAGAAAGCTATTTTGTTTTATCTTAAATCCTTAAAATAATCCTGCTTTATGTTAGAACATAAAGTCAGTTTGTTAAATGACAAGAGCCTTGTAGAAATAACAAGGTTTTTTTGTTTGCTTCATTTTTCGCCTTTTCCCAATAGTATTTGGGTAGTTTCCTAAACATCGTTCCTTGAGAATTACACAAGTACTAGGCTACCTTCCTCCGCGCTAAACTACCAGAGTATCTCCCGGAGATCGAAATAAATAGGTAAATGTCCCCTTGATATATCACTCGCGGTGAATGATACTTAACATAGTTCTTAAGAATTTAATTTTCAGTATAAGTGTATTTCTATTACTGACAAGTAATTTTTATTAAAGTTTGTTTTCCTACTCATAGTCAGCATTGCGTCCACGTGCATTCTTTTACATAGCAACTGCCATCTAAAATTTATTGCAATAGAAAGAACGAATAGATTTCCTAATGACATTCTGATTGATCTAACTGTTGTTCAAACTGACCTAAAATAATCATTTATTACCTCCCAATTTGACTTAAATTATTGCGTATGCTAAATGAAAGAATGGTAAAATCGCATGATTTGGTATTGTGAATTTAATGAAATAAGTACTAACTTTCTGTCAGATTTCAGTATATAGTAACAATAATTTTAGATTTTAACATTACATCTATATAACAATACCATGTCATACACAGACTTCATGTAATGTATTGTCATGTCAAAGGCGGATTTTATATATTATGTATGCGTTTAATGCATTTCGTAACTAAGATGTGTTGATCAAAGTTCCTGAACTTTTCTTTTAGTTTTGAATTGGCTTTTTTTGTTAATAGCGAGATGTCACGAGAAATAATCGTTTAATCATTGTGTCAACGTAGAGCAAATGTTATGCGAATCATACAAACGGTTTTAATTTTGGGTATTCATTATATAGACTATTTCTTAAATGCTTCAATTAACACATCAATGTTATGCATCCTTTAATGTCGTTGTTTTAATTAGAAGATTTGTAGGAAGAATGTTCTGTAATGTTTAATATAGATCAGTCAATGATATCGGAGCTTATAGTTTTCTGGATTTGTTTTCTTAGAAGTATCAGGTTGAATTGCTTTGATTGATTGCTCGCAAAAAGTTATTTTATTTTATCAATAATTCTTTTTCATTTTAGAACATTAATTTAGGCAGATCTTTTAATGACAAGAGCTTTGTTTGTTATTTTTTAAAGAAATAACAAGTTAAATGGGACCTTTGCTAGATCACTCGCGATGAATGATACTTTCCTAATGATACGTGCATACACATTAAGATACAATGTAACAAATGTAATAAAGCAAGGGAGTACGGTGGGTTTTTTTTCCCCCAGCAACCACTCCGGTTTAATTTTTCCAAACAGAGGGAAAAGTATGACTTTTAAGCATTTATTTTATTTTAAAGTATACTTTATTGCACAGGTAAAATTTTTAAAACAATTTTTTTAAAAATTTTTTGGGAACTATGCTTTAAAACGAAATCAGGAACTATTTATACAAAATTTTAAAAACACTTTTCCCAAAAGTAAACTTATATGTTGTTTTATATTTAAATGCATTTAAGTAAAAATATTGTTCTAAAAACCCCTTTTTGGGACCAAAAATTTTTCCCTCCTTCTTTTGAATTTAAAAATTTAAAAAACGGGCACGTTTACCCTTTTTTCCCTTTCCCGGGTTTGTTTCTAGTTTATCCATAATTTTGGTTTTTAAAAGTTTTTAGATCTCGTTTAAATTTTAACAACTTCATGACGTGCTGCTAGAATAATATATCCACCTAAAATATAGAATGTAAAACAACAACATAAATTAAGATGCAGTAACCGTAAGGCTCCTTGATGACACCTGACCATTACCGTTCTTAACTCGGGTGATGGAATTGTCGTATGTGACCATTGTCAGAACAACCGGGTGAATAAAGGTCGGTCACGGTTGATTTGACTTGATATTAGTGGCATATGGAATCGCCTTTAGAATACAAATTGGTAAAGGCACATTATGCCTTCAGAAAAAAACGAATAATTGTTGTTGTTGTTGTTTTTTTTTTCAGAAAGAGCAAGTATTAAGTATCATAATGTTTAAATAATGGCTTAAAGACATGTTGGATGCCCATTTCCGGAGGAAAGTTGCTCTGAATATGAAATTGCAAAACTATACAAAATACTAATTGCAAAAAAGGAAAGATAGTTCAGGTAAATGGCTAAACAGTAACTTACTTTTACATGACACCAAATCAAAATGCGTTTGAAAAATAAATGTATGTACGAGTATATGACTGTATATAAACATAATCGCACGATTACTTCCCAGAAATACGCACATAGGTAATGCCATACAAATTTTGTGTGTTTCAAGTATCATGTCAAAAATGACAATTGATACTTTTATTTAAAACATTTATTTGTTTGCACTTTTTATTGCAGACTACCGGGACAATTTATAATAACAACGATCTTTTGAATCACACCATTCTTTCACTAGTGTCTATAGTGATACAGCTTTAATCGTTGACATGTTTAAGAAGGTTTCTATATAAATGATCAATCAATATTTGAGAAAGTGCTCCTTCGGAAATTTTAAAATAGCAAATGAAAGTTGCAGATTCGGTGGTTTAATTGAACCTGTACATGAGGGATTATCCCTCAAGCCCCCTTGCACAGGAAAACTTTTTTCAACAATTAAAAGTGCTAAAATATATGGACCCAAAGAACAAGGAAAGTATAACAACACTGAAGTGAAGTACGGTGAAACTGTTTACGGCTGCCACATGATGATGTATAAATATCTGGAAAAAAGTGATCCATCGGAAGCATTAAAAACAGACAAATTACATGTAAATTGCGAATTTGTTTGATTGAGTCTGTACATGAGGAATAATGAAAAGTGCAACATTCCTCGGGCCCCCTATCACCGGCGGCTTGACAGCACTCAATTTCCAACACATAAAAGTGATCCCGAAGGACCAGAAAACAGAATATGTTGAACCTATCCATTTACCTGGTTTAACCAGCCTTATCATCTCGTACAAAGCCTTGCATGGAACGTGAGCGCCCTCTCCATAAATACCACTTCCGGTTATGACGTCATATGTATCTGGATAAGATTCGTATCAATGATTCAACAAATGTAAGAACAAGAAAAGCATTGATGCAAAACATCAAAGGGCGTCCAAGCAAGAAATGCAGCAAGTGACGATGAACTAGTAGACATATGATGACAAGATATTCTTATAATCTTTTCAATGGTTAATTGGTTTTTACCAGAATTGTATATCACTTATGAATGAACGGACGAAATACATAGTTCATTATGAACTTTGATTGGCATGCTAGAGATTAAAATATTACTTGTTAATTATTCTTTATGATCGTGGTTATTAATAGTAACGGATATACATGTATACAATCATTTATAATTCATATGTGTAACGCATGATCAACACCACACTTGTGAAATTGTCCCTTATTATGTTATCGCTATTAGCTCTTAAGGTATCTGTTCACACTAAAGTCTTAGTAAAAATATGACACTGGTTATATTACCATGTTGATCATGTTGAGCATAATAGTTTTATTATACAATAATTGTAATATCTATTTTAATAATAAAAAAAATACAGATTTTATGAATATTGTTTTCTTTTCTTTTGTTTTTATGTGCTTTTTTAATACTGAGTTTTTACGTTTACTACTCTTTTGTTATTAAAATTGTAAAATAAATTTTAAGAATTCAATTGTCATATCAAAACTGAAATAAAAGTCAGTAAATTATGGTTAATCTTTCAATATATAATATTGTTTATTCTTAAACCAATGGCATGTACATTTGTATTTTTCTTTATCATTTTTTAAACTATATCAATTGAATAATTCATAAAATCTAATTTGTAACTTTGCATAATTCCTCGTCATCTTTACTAAACACTAAACACTAAACATTAAATAAAATGTTTCAAAGTTGATAGTGTCATATTAATACCATAAAAATGTACCTTTTTTCTCAATCATTGTACATATTTATTGTTTTTATCTCATAAAGATAAAATGAAACATGCTATTGTTGTTGTTTTTGGGTTTTTTTTCGAATTGTATGTTTATGCATAATAATAATCAATAATCTGAGCGTAACCAAACTGAGTGACACATATTCATTTTGGAAAAAAAGCTTATTTATCTGTAAAATATTTGTTCTGTTCTGTAACGATATCAAACATCTACTAGAGACCAGACAATAAACGTGTGATACTATTCGTTGGTCACTGGTAAATCCCGGTCAAAATAGACCGGGAGAGACCGGGAATTACCGATAGGATTAATCATTCTATTTACAGCTTTCGGATACATGTACAACAATAACATTACATAATAACCCACTGTGTACTAAAAAATTATAAATAAAAACCTCCGAAGAGCGCGATTGATTGACGGAAAAGGTTATTTCATTTGAAAATGTTTGCATTGCGAAATTCTCCAGTTCGCTATTCATTGTACATATCGCGACATTTCATTCTTAATTAATAATCAAGCACCCTCATACCGATCGGAATGATCGGCTTTTATCATGACCGACTAACAGGCTCGAGAAGTTGCTGTCGTCCTTTCACAAAATCTGATTTCATTCCATAAGGGGCGCCGCGCTTCGGCGCGGACGCCAATAACAACTAAGGAAAAGAAGCGTTATGTTTCCACGGGGAACTTTAAAAGCAATGCCATGTTAAATTATGGTGAAATGCATATAAAACATCTACTTAGTATTCAGCATTTTGTATCAATAATATAACTTTCACTGATTATTTTCATTTTTAAAACACATCCTTAACAGAATCAGACTGATGTTTATTGCACTCAAAATAACCTTTTTTATAGTCTGTGTTTTTAGAAAAGGTATAAGATCCGAAATTAGAATTACTGTGTAATATTTTCGACCGGTGTCAATGAAGTAGTGTTGTTCAGAGAGATCATTCTTAGTTTTTATTTTGCAAGGTATCAAATCCAATCCTTACTGTCGTAGACTTTTTTTATCATCAAGAAACTCTATAGGAATTCATTCTTCTACAATAAAGAAGTTAAATTTTCATTTGATTATATACGAGTACAGTACATACCACCAGACAATGTTGTCGGTGATTCTGTCAGAAATTCCTGATAATAGTTATTGTAAAGATTATCTTTCTTTGCTTCTAACAACATTGGTTCACTTGGTTCAAGGGCATCTAAATTCTTGAATCCCAATTTCTTCAACTAAAATATAATAATGATTCGACAATAAATATATAAGAAACATTAATCTTATGTTATCTATGAACAAGCTCCTTGAAAATTTGCTTGTCATATCTGTAATACGTTGGCAGTGATGATCCTCAGTTTTCACTTACATTGTATTTTTATGAGTAAGCATTAGCAGAATATGACAAACGTTCACAACAGTACCATATGTTCAAATAAAACAGAATACAGTTAGAAGATAAAGAATAAGTTATGGTAACTATCACTTAGGCCTGAATAAAAATAAATAAATATGTTCAAAGTATCTAGCAAGGTAAATTGGCACTGAACGCTGCGAAACATCTTGGCTTGCATTTATTACAAGTATATATAACGACTACACGTGTTATAGTACATAATATAGATCACGCATTAAACTTATGCAATTATTATACATAAAATATACCTCAACAGCAACTAGGCCCGTGCCTGCCCCAACATCAAGAATATTAACATTGTCTCGTACATCCACCGGAAATAAATCGGCAACCCTTTGTGCAACTCTTGCCGGTCCACTATAACCTAATAGTTCACAGTCCTGCAATAGTTGTTTAAACGTTGAGAGCATAACATGACATTCTTGATGTATTTCAGATAACAAACGAATAAAATTAGGAAGTGGTACAGCACAAAGATCTAAAACTAAATTATCAACAAACCCAATTAAACTAGGTCAATAGGTCTTTTTCTGTCTTAAATCGGAATGGATATCTTTGGTTTTGAAATTCATTTTGCGTTAATAATACAGTTGTTAGAAATCTGTATCGTGTTTGCACTAACCTTATTATAACTGCAAGCCCATTTTTGGTATAACGTTTGTGTTTCCTTTATGCTTACACCAGTTTTGAGCAAATCCAAGCGTCCCCATTCACTTCCACTCATGATCTTAACAATAACAAAGAAAGAACGTTATAAAAGTGCGCTTTCATACTTGTTCACTTAGTTGACATGAAAACCATGTTAACTCTAGGAAACAGGTGTACATTTCGAGCGAGTAAAAATATATAATAGCAATTGAAAGATTATCAATATGCGTGTTTAATAAAGAAATAACAGCATAGATGTATACTGACAAGGGTCAAAATTATCATGTTAGCTCTTGTTGCAACAATTGTTTTGTTTTTTGTTGTTGTTTTTTCAGAGTTGCCCGATTGCTGTTTTTGGCACGTAATAAGCTTTAGATAAGCTGACGAAAAGCGAAGACGATACTTTCATATTTTAGCATTTATTTCCCTTTTAAGACCTTGTAAAATATTCAGAATAATGCAAAGCAAGACGCCCTTTTAAATCATCGTTGTATTTTGTCAGATTGAACAATGACTGAATCTATAATTCATATATGATGCTCATAAATTTTCACGTAACGTTGTTTTTGGTTCGTCGGTTAGTACGCGATATAAAATTTAGGATAGTTTTATCGCCTGATTTTACGCGGCGTGTCAAAATTGTAATGCAGTTCGATGCGTTTTGTGAAAAGGTATTTTAGTAGCGCAAAACTGATTATCGCATTCCTTCAAATTATTCCCCAGCATGTGCTTTGCACCATTTCGCGTTTACATTCAATTATCAAGTACATCTTGATAGTCATTTTAAGGATACCATGGAGACACTGGAATATGGCTGGCCTAAGATCTCTACAGGTTCGATATAATACTTGCAGCAAGGTACTTCTTTTGCAGTTTCTGTTGAAAATAGAAAGAAATCAGCGGGGGATTGGAGGGGGGCAAGATCTGGTGAATATGATGGTGAGGAAGTTCAATCACTTTTTCCTGCTTTAGAAAGTTCACGTACAATGCCCACTATGTTGCAAAGAACATTGCCGTGCAACAGCCGGACATCAAAAAGATCCGTTACTGGCCATTGTTTGTTGAAGTATTTCCTCAGTTTTTTAAGTACAACCCCTTTGTAAAACTTGCTATTGACAGATTTTCCTTTTGGTACAACAATTGTCAAGCAGGACCTTGATTGATAATGAAAATGAGATACACGACCTGTCTGACAATCATGGTACGCTTGCCTATGCATTGCCTTTTCGCGTACCTTGTTTTAAAACTTATGTATTGGCTCATAAAGATGTACCCATGTCTTATCACAAGTGACGATAGTTTAGAGAACGATCAGCTGTTGTATTTAGGATTCATTTTAAGCAATGTTTTGGCTGCTTTTACCCAGAGACGCTTCTGTTTTTCTGTCAGCAGATGGGGTATTCATCGTACACTCATTTTCTTCATTATTTCATATTCCGTTTAAGAATGACATGAGCAGATTATTTAAGATGCCTACTGCACGAGCTGTTTGCCCGACTGTAAGTATTGCATTAGAAGATACAACTTTCTTGATTTTTGCTATGATTTTTAGAAATATATTTTATTATGCAAAAAGGTGCATCTTTTAATGCCACTTTACCGCTTGGAAATTTCTTACACCATCGTGTAACTGATGCATAGGACATCTCATCATATTCATGAACAGAACAAATTTCTTGAAGAATGTCCTTAACACGTAAACCTAGAAGACAGCAATTCCTAAAATAGGGGCGTATTTAATCAGCGAAAACTGATTTTTCACGAACCATTTCAGTATTCTATTTCGAATTTTCGAGTACACACCGATTGTTTCTTGTTGTATTGTCAAAGCTGTACTGAAAGGATTTACACAGAAGTGTAAAGTACGCGATATGCCCTTATTTTTATTACAATTTTGGACATTTTTCGTATTTTAAATTAACAAAACCAATAATTGAATGCTTTAAATTACATTTTTGAATATTAAATTAATCAAAGTTTATTTCATCTCAAAATTATTTTTTTTAAATTCCACGCTATTTTATAGGTCACTATTTGTATTCAAAATAACGATATCCAATGAACACATCCACAATTCTTTTTTTTTAAATTACTTTCACGAATAACAAAATATAATCCATTAAGCACATTATAATCCAATAATTTTAATCAAATCTTAATTTTCTACCTGAAATACAAGAAAAGGTCGCCGGAAAAGTTGTAACAAAGCAGGATATGAGTGGTTTCTCAAATTCTACCGTCTGATTAGATGAAAATCAAAACTTGTATGCCGATCAAATCTATGTCAACGCTAGAATGACTTTCGTTTTATACAGAAAATATTTTTCTTCGCATCATTGATTTTGTTATTTAATAATTTACTTTTACACAACCTTGACTGTAACAAACTATGTATTGAAATATTAGATTTTAAAACTCTTTACTTAACTTTTTCATATCATCTTTCTAAATGTGACAGAGAAAGGGATCGTCAGATTGTGTGCATGATTTTAATTACATCCAAGAACGTTTCAGATACAACTTACATATATACCATTGTGCTTGACCTTTGAGGCATTGATGAAAAAAAAGAGCCAGACCCGCTTGCACATCCATGCAGTTCAACCACAACACGACCTTGATCAAAGCCTCATCGTTATCATATTGAATACGGAGATACATATTCGTTGTAAATAAATAAATAAATAAATAAATAAATAAATACATATATACATAAATTGGACTGGTAACATTGATGTTGTTATAAAATTCAAATATAACGATGGTTATTTTAGCAAAGAGTTTATCTTTAATGTTTAAAACAATTACTTTACACCTAACAAAAGCTGACCAGCATTTCATTTCCTCAGTCAATTGCCTAACTTTATTGAAAATATTGCTAATAATTATAAATGGCGAAATACTCGATTATATACACGGACTTATCAATATCTTAGGAGTGAACTTATGAGATATTCTCTTCTTTCAAGATTTACCTTTTATCATCAAGTATGCTAGTCACGTTATTCCTTAACAATTAGCGCAAAATGTTAAAGGATATTACAGGAAAGATCCCCCAGTGGTATAATGTATATTTCCTACAGCATGATTTTAGAACTTAATCGACCAAAGACACCGCATATGTTTTAGTATTGATAGAAACAAAGTCACTTAACCTATCCGCGTAATGTCGTTATATCGAAGTTACTTCATCAAACATGGAAATCATCTCGGTAGTTTGACATGTCTTCAACCATAGAATTAAAGGATATAATTTATCATTCTCTAACCCATGTTTTCTAGTAAGTTCGACCTTGTCTAAATTGAATAAAGCCGTTGATAAGCGCATAAGTCTTGGGAAAAAACGTTCCTATTTTGAACCTTTCTTTAATTCTTTAAAAAGTCAATATTAATGAGATTTTTGTCACAATATCATTGCTAGGTTCTCAAAAATCCATTATGCAGATTTATGATATATTGAACGGTAGACGGTGTCAATAATCAAGATAATTATGCCTCATTAGACACGATAGTTTAGAACCTGCTGTTAATTGACATTTTAAAAACCCTTTCATACTAACGCACTTTCATTTTAAAATAGCCGAGGCGTTGGTCTGTATTATACGAGTATATTATATATAACACTGCAATAAAAGATAACAGTTTCTGTGCAGCTTTCTATTCGACCCTTTTATGCATTTGATTGTACTTACTTTGTTCGTTTGTATGTTAAGATTGAAATTATTTACTTCTAAACTAAATAAATTTTAAAACGTTTTTATAATTATAATCATACTACCATGTACTATTATCTTGAGCATTAATGGTCCACGTCTTCGACTCTATGGTGTATACTACAATTTTCCCTGACAAACACTTTCAGAATTTGTACCAAACAGTAAGAATCTTCAGAATCTACTGTATATTAATGTAATAGTAGTGACCAGACAGTCTATTACTTAATTCGTGCTGATTGTAGTATTCTGTCTTGTGTTTATTAGACATCTGTATAATAATATTTAATGAAGTAAAAACGACTTACGACACGCAGTTGTTATAGGTGTTTATATCACATTATGCATGTGTATAAATCTAAAGGCACAATTTTAGTCTATCTACTTGGTAATATTCACTTTCCATTCTTACAATTGCAAATACGTCAACTAGTCATTATATGTATGCGTTACTGACAAGTAGAGGTGAGCTTAATTATGACTAGCTAGAAAACTTTACAAACAGCTGAAAATTTCATGTAAATACATTTATTTCGTGTTTTTAAATCACCGCTTCATGACAAATACTGAGGTACGACTCCAATAAACAATGATGATAAGTTTCCAGCTGTAAAGACAATGCAATCCAACTTTCACCTAAGAGATACCATGTGAACGGTTTGTTGGATGTCGTTTTTTTGTTTTGTTTTTGTTTTGGTGCTTTAATTTAAATTTCTTATCCTGGTAAAGTTTCTCAGAGACAGTCGCCAAAAAAGAGCTGCACCGCCGACCGATTGAAAAAGGCATTGCGGAACAAGGCCAATAGTTCAAATCTACACGACGTATTAGAATACCGTATCAATGGAGGATAAGGCTTTGGACGGGTATAAGGTTTCCCGTATATTATATTTGGTCCTATAAGGTTTCCCAACTGATTTAAATGAATTCAAAAGTGACATGAAAAGTATTTTTTCTTCTTCTGTGGAATAATCGAATTCTGAAATCAAATTAAAATGATAAACTTCTTCTTTAGACATGTTACTATTCATTCTAATGATCTCATATTTTCTCGGTACCAGATGAAGAAGAAAATGAAAATGTCCTAATAGATATGTGACAACTTTAACTTTAACAACAATGTTACTTTGAACATCCGATAGCTGTATCCTCATAAAGTACACATTAGTGAGTAAAATGCCAATCAACTGAAAGAGTATTGTATGTGAAAACTTTAAAAAATAAATGTTTACTTCTGTTTTTATTGTAAGGATGCTATAAAATTTCTTATTTTTTTAAATGGAATTTAAACAAACATCTTCTCACATCGCACCATTTTGGAGAAAGTACATTTCATATATCTCAAATGCAAGAAACATAACATGGACATTTAAACATGACTATGACTGATCAGCAATAAACATACAATATGGGCAGCCACACTATGTAGTAAACTGTAGTAAAGTTGATGCTGATAATCTAAATATTGTGTTATTTTGGACAGATAAAGATAAGGTCTTCCCGTCTAGGGTATAAATGTTGATCCGTGTATAGCAGGCATATGGTATAAACAATATAATATTGATACCAAAACATAATTTTAATGATCTGATAAAATACATGATTACTATTTAATGTCTATGCATGAAAAGAAGTACATGTAACACGCTTTATTAATCTTTAGATGTCCTAACTGCTACAAATGTTAAACATATGTAAATCAAAACATGTTTGATTAGTAATATATGACTGGATGCATTCATTATCACGAAAATACAACAGAACCTTATCAGACCCCTTTCTAAATGAAGTACTTTTGAAGTATTCTAATATATGTGTTTTTCTATAAGAATATTCACTAATTAGGGGAGGAAATGTGTAAGCAGCCGGCTAACCAAATAGATATAGCTGCATACGGTATTTTGAAGGTCCTGGGTTCGAGTCCCGGCGGGCTGCACATTATTCTCATTCTGTGGCATATGTCAATTTCTACTGAATAATAAAATCATGCTTCACAAACATGTACATTAAACACAAATAAAGCATCAAATGATATAACAGATATGCATGTTAGCAATTTATAATCTTGTTAATACATGTACCAGCAATTGCACTTCACATTAACTGTTATAAATACAATGTATGTACATTATGCAACCAAGTTGAGCTACAAAAAGCCATGTAAAATGAAATACATGTAACATTACCCGTAATAAAGCACAATTCTTATTATATAAACATGGTACGTATGTTCTGTCTGTATATATTCTGCGCTGAAACACTTAATGCACACCGTTTTATGTACGTTTCAGTGCGAATACACTAAATGCACACCTTTTTATGTTCGTTTCAGCGCGGATACACTAAATGTACGCCGTTTTATGTTCGTTTCAGCGCGATAACACCAAATGCACACCGTTTCATATACGTTTCAATGCGGAAACAGTAAAATCACGCCGTGCTTTTTGTACATATCCGAGCGGAAACACCAAATACACGCCGTTTTATGTACCTTTCAGGTTGGTATACACTAAATGCACGCCGTTTAATGTACATTTCCGCGCGGAAACACCAAATGCACGACGTTAAATATGTACATTTCCGCGCGGAAACACTAAATGTACGCTGTTTTATGTACATTTCCGCGCGGAAACACTAAATGTACGCTGTTTTATGTACATTTCCGCGCGGAAACACTAACTGTACATTTCCCCGCGGAAACGACGAATGCATGCCGTTTTATGAACGTTTCAGCACGGAAACACTTAATACAAATGTACACGCGCGCGTGTGTGTATGTTTGATAACCTAGCTTAGTCCTTAACCTGCTGCATCCGATAGCCTTTTTCAACCAGTAAAGAGCCACCCCAGCCTCATTTCCTTGCAGACAGACCATGTTCTATACTGTTAGTAGCTAAATTTTAAAATGTCCATTGAACTGTTTTAAATTCATAGCAATGCATATGCGGCAGCGCGCTTTGGCTTAAATGCATCCTCGTGCTTCTGCAGATGTTAATGAAAATACTGAAAATGAAAATACGCATATTTCTCAACATTTCAAGTACATGTATATAATAGATGTGTATTATTTATGCTATTTATTCTATAACATTTAAAAAATTGTCCAATTTTCGTTCAAACTAACATGCGTTTCTTTTTCCCTCTCCCCTAACGAGCCCGTGATTGCTTCACTGACCACAAACAATACATTTGAGTATGAAGTGCGGTGTTAGCGATCGTTATCTTAGTTTACTACCTGTATTTTACGCACCAAGTTGTTACGCACTTCCCTTGTTTGGAAAACCCCATTTCAATACTTTCTGTTTAGTTACTGTAGGATATACCGGATACAATTAACTGGTAAAGTGATTTATATCATTCTTTTTTTTTTTACGACATTTATAATATATTGTAGTTTATGTAAGAAGAACCTGCAAAGAATTACCCAAACAACAATCATTAATTTTCATCATCCTACAAATAGATAGTTCAATGATAGTTTCTTTTTAAACTTGTAAAATGATTGCTGAACTACAATACTTTCATCTTTATATTATCTCTTATATTCTGTGTTTGAATAAGGACGACGAGAAGACCGAAAACAGCCAATCATTCTGTCAAACAAAAACTAGAAAACATACTTTCTAACAATTCCTTCAAGTATTGCCTAAACTCATTTAATAACTAGATCTTATTTCCATAAACCTTTAAAAATATTGAAATTATGTAGTTACCTTTATCATGCATAATAATAGGTTAAACTTGGCTTTGGATAGCAATGTGTTCAGCGCCATCCAGTTCCGACGAAAGTGACATCTTCGACCCAGCTAGTATCAACATTTTCTGTGAAAAACACGATTCTAAATATGCAACGGCTTTTTGTTTAACACATAAGAAGCCAATTTGTATGTCTTGCATTGTACAAAAAGTTCATTGTGTTGATGACTGTAAACTTCAGGAAATACAGTACGTTGATCGTAACGTTCTGCAATGTCTCAAAATGAAAAAAGTGATAAATGAGCATGATTCGAAGCTAGATGTTAATGTAATTGAAGATCAAATGAAAACAGAAATTGAAGCTGCTTATTCAGAGACATTAGCCAAACTTGAAGAGTATAAGGCAACCTCATACGAGGTGACAAAGAAAGAAATAGCAAACGTGATTGAAAGTGATAAGGTCAGCCGAACTCAAACAGTTCTTAAAATAAATGAAGCTATTGACTATTGCATATCTGGTAATATGATTCAATGTAAAAATATTACGAGTAATATAGAAGATACATGCTTTGTCACTGGGATACACTTTCAAGAAGTAATACCGTCTTTTGATGCTCAAAAAAGAGCTCTTGTGAGTGTGAAGGACATAAGCACACCGGAACAGTTGCAATGGATGGACTGTTGTATATATGATTTAACCGATTCAGAAAACGATATGGATTGAGATAACAAGATACCAAATAGACAAGATCGAACAGCTGTCTACATCATTCAAACTTCGGGTTGAACTAGAATCAGAAATTATTCAACATTGTGCTTGAGTCCGATTTGATATTTCATAATGCGAATTGTAAAAATTAATAAAATTATGCCCCCTATTTATAGAAAAAGTCAGAAAATTATTTATTTGTTGAAATCTTTGCTAACATTAAAGATTCATAAAAAGCATATAAGATTTTTGATTTTATTACAAAATACATGTGGGCATTATACCCATGAGTACATACATACATACATACACACACACACACACACACACGCACGCACGCACGCACGCACACGCACGCGCACGCGCACACACACACACACACACACACACACAACTATATCATCTGCATGTGACAAGAAAAAAGTCTTTAAAATATCTACGTCAATACCTTCAAAACCATTTATCATAAGATATTCTTCTAAATTTTTCAAGTACAAAGAAAATAAAAAAAGTAAAACGATTAGTCATGTCTACTCTTGTGAATACAAAATCTTTCCCTTTTAAAATTTTGTTTTACTCTTGACTTTCATTCTCATACATAACCTAATAATTCTAAATTATACCCCCCCCACTCCCCAAATTTAATTAATTTAACCAAAAAAACATCAAAAAAAAGCTTCAGTGAAATCAACAAAACAGCATACAACTTTTTATTATTATTTCATAAATGTGTTATAATACCATGTAATATAAAAAAACCATCAAAAATGCTCATGTTTTTTTTCTAAAACCATTCTGGGATTCTATATACAGCGTGCATTTATTATTTTTTGTAAAAAGTTTCCCAAAGATGCTAAGAAGGGTAATACCCCTATAATTGTTAGGGCTATCTATAACCCCCTTTTTGTGAATAGGTACAATAAAACCTTTTGCCCAATATGATGGGAAATAATCTGTTTTAACAAAGAAACTATAACCTGTAAAAAGTGATCAAAATCAGATCCAAACTTTAAAATCTCATTGAGTAAATAATCAGGCTCAGCAAATTTACCAGCATTTAACTGTTTGCAAGCATTAAAAATTCCATTACCAGTGAAAGGAACATTAAGTTCTGAGAACATGACATTTAATTCTTCATTTAGGTAACTATTGTTAAAATATAAGACATCTTATTAGCTTGATAAAATACAGACTCCGAATCATTTATGGATTTAAAATATGTTTGGAAATCTGCCGTAGTTAGCTTACATTTACTAAAGTTCAGCCACATCAAACAGTCATCTGAAATGTAACAAGTTCAACATTTTGTTTTAATCTATGATGTACATATACATGTATTAAGCAGCACGTCTCCAGGTCAATACTAATTTTCATATGTATCTGAATGTTTAATATTGTGAAGTAAACAAAAGGAAGCAATTAAGACATTTTCAATGCCACAAACAAACCACGTACATCACCAAAAAGTGGTCAAAATATGCATAAATAACCATTACTGTTTTAGTAACGCAGTAGAAATATAGTTGTAAATACTGAAAAATCAGTCACATAGAACATGTAAAATATTATTTGAATCTTCAATCTTTTTGCATTTCCTAAAATTTTAGTACATTTTTCTAAAGTTTGATTTTATTGAACTATTTTCACTCCTCTGGAGGCATGTAGCTTTAAACCACCATGATTGTCTCTTTTTCCACCTTAAGATTTTAATTTTCTGCGTAAAATATAATAATCAAAATTTGTAACATCATAGTTAAAAAGATCATTTGACCTTTGTCTCTGTTAAAAGAATGATATCATTATTTTCGAATAAATGTTTTATTTCACTGGAAACAAAACTTGAACTCATGTTCACCCCTGCTGTCCTATTTCTGTCTGGTTGTCACGTCCTTTCACAATTCGCTCTTTGGGACTTCCTTTTTCGCGCAATAACCGCTTTCACAATACCCCTCATAGCTAGGGTGTTATTTTTAGTATTTATATACGCGAACATGTATTATTAAATCTCATGGTAAGAACAGCGTACAATTTAATCATTGAAAAAAATAAGTCAATGAGCATTGCAAAATTAGTTATCTATTGAATTGTATGAATTGTGCAACGTTTATCGTCCAGAAAACCAACATGAGTATTGACCTCTTTAAAGAATTACGATGGAAAAGAAGAAAGAATCTCACATATAGTACTTTTAAATTAATTTTTTACATCGTAAATGATTATAAGGCATTCATTTCCACATTATATATTCATAGTATGTTTTACCCTTGAATATTTGATAATTGTATCTGCTTTTGTTTTGATATACTCCATTGTCTTTAAATCAAATGTTTATTTTGTTGCGGAGAAGCATTAAATCTAACAAGACTTGTGGCTAAGAGCAAAAACTTTAAGAGACGGTTTATAGGTTTGCCATTTGTCCCTTGTTAAAACATAACGTAAGTGTCTGTGGGGGGGGGGGGGGGGAGGAAGGAGTGAATTGTGTTATGAAAAATAACAAGACGTACTGAGTAAATGAGATCTTTTATTTCCTTTAAATAAATCAGAAAAGTTCAAAATACATAGAATGAGGTTGATAAAATTTTGTTGATTATATTTCCGTTCAAATGGAGTTTAAACTTAGTACATATATACAACATTGAAGATAAATTAAATTCTTGTGTTGTATACTACGAAAGACCAGTAGGGCCATTTCAACTTCATGAATTATCGATTTCATTTTAATGAATTCACAATTTTAACTTCCTGAATTCCCGTTTACAACATACGGAATTCACGATTTCAGCTTCATAAATTTCCGATTTCAACTTCATGAATTCCCGATTTCAACTGCATGAATTCACGATTTCAACTTCATGAATTCATTGATTTCAACTTCACGAATTCAACTTCGTGAATTCACGATTTCAACTTCACGAATTCACGATTTCTACTTCGCGAATTCACAATTTTAACTTCATGAATTCACCAATTCACCTTCATGAATTCACGATTTCAACTTCACGAATTTACGATTTCAACTTCATGATTTCAACTACGTAATTTCACGATTTCAACTTCACGAATTCAAGATTATAACTTCACGAATTCACGATTTCAATTTCACGAAGTTTAAATTGTGAATTCGTGAAGTTGAAATCGTGAATTCATGAAGTTGAATTCGTGAAGATGAAACCGTGAATTCGTAAAGCTGAATCGGGAATTCATGAAGATGAAATTTGGAATTCATGAAGTTGCAATGTCCCTACCGGGCTTTCGTAGTATACGAATGAAATTACATGCACGTCCTAAAATTGTATCGATCTCATTGACCTGTATGACATTTTGGAAAAAATAAAGCGGTGAAAACTATTTATAGAGATTAACATGCTCCTGTCTTTTGATATCAATTTTATTAGGCGAGGCTGATATGAGCTAGAAAGGGGCGACGCTTGCCGAGCCCTTTAATTCTTTCCATATAAGCCGAGCCTGATAAAATTGATATCAAAACAGTAGCATGTTTTTCTATTTTGATCATTTAATACATAAAAACAGACAAAAATACAAAATAATCTACTTTTAAATTTGTAGAAAAGAACACTTTTGTTCAAAGAAATTATTCTTGAAAACAAATATCTCCGCCCCTGAAACTTAAATTTGTAAATTACGGGCAGTTATTTTCTTTCGGTTCGAGGTTATTTCCTTTGATAATAGATAAAACAGATTGTCAAAATAAATCAAGATTTTAACCTTTGAACATCGATCCAAAAATATCCCTATTTCACCAAAGGCAAATCGGTAATCAAGTTACACAAACATGCGTCTTATTTTCTGAACAAAACGATTTGCAATAGCAATTTTTTGGCCCTTTCCGTAAGTATTATGATGATGTCATCGATCACAATAGTATGAATACACAAAACGAATACTGTATTTCGGTCTAACCTGCGCATGTGAACAAATAGTAGATTAATGCTGGGAGTTACGGTGACACAGGGTTGACATGTGTGTGTGATTTTGTTTATCACCCGCACACGAGGTATTAAATTAGTACGAGTTAGTAAGCCGTGGCCTCGAGATAATTAAGTGGTGCGCACAAGATACTATGTCGTGGCCACGAGATAGTTAAGTGGAGCGCATGAGATACTATTTCGTGGCAACGAGTTAGTAAGTCGTGGTCACCAGATACTTAAGTGGTGCGCACGAGATACTTTACGTGGCCTCGTGATAATATAGTCTACAGATCACGTGCTCCTCCATGTACCGAAACTGGTCACGTGCTCCTCCATGCTTCAAAAATTAACCGTGTACCAATACCCCGAGGGCTCTATCCCGCAGAGAATAATCCTTCTCAGGTTATCGTATGGACAAGGTTAACTTAGGAACGTACATACTGACCAACCCTATCACAGGATGAACCCCACAATGTGCAATAACTTACTCAAAATGATGTCTGATTTATTGGCATTGGTAAGAATTGGTTAGTTAAAGACATTTATCAACTTTTAAGTGAATACCATCAGTAGTTTCAAAGATTATTGTTGCATGTAAAACTTTAACCAGCAATTTTCTAAGTTTAAAAAAAAACATTTATTTATAGTGTAATCTGATTGGTTAATTATCTCATGCGCACGACTTAATTATCTCGTGCGCACGACTTAGTACCCCGTAACTACGACATAGTTTCTCATGTTCTAGACTTAATTATCTCGTTCCCACGACATAGTAACTCGTGGCCACGACATAGTATCTCGTTCGCACCACTTAATCATCTCGTTCCCATATTTTTATGTACATTACGAAAAATGTAAGTTTAAATTGAGTTATTTAATGATTATTATGTCATAATATATAAGTGCAATGATCAACAAAGAAATGTGCTGTCCATTTAATGCCCAGCAACTCAGGACATAAAGGAAAAACAGCAGGCCATCAAACAAAACAAGATGCCTGTTTAGCTACTTTGCTGTACTACTGGTTTTGTATAAAGCCTATTGACAATTTTTGGTATTTTTCTTAACTGAACAATACAGCATTGAATTACTTATGAGAGGGGCATTTCAGATTTGAACACATTTTGGTAATTATTTTTCATTGTAAAAAGGTGTTAAAGTAATTTCAAATTTTCAAAATGACTCCATAAAAATTTA